TTGTAATATTATAGCACGAGTTAGATAATAAGCTTTACTTTAAATTACATTGAAAGTTGTTTATGGTGAATCCGTTTTGAATATTTATATATACTTAACAAAACTTGCCTCGTATGTCGACGGTTTTCATCTGAAATTGACATAAAGAATATGTCAAATACGGGCGTTAGAATAAAGTCACAAAGGCAAATGTCTATTTTTGAAACGGCATTGCAACTATGTAGCTTTGTTATTGTGCATACTGTATTACTTCCTATTGTCCTAATTAATACACCAGTGTAAAGTTTGCTGACATAGAACGACCCGACATCCGTGTTATTGACTGAAAGTATAGGGTACCAACATATTGCCGCACTCATGAAACAATTCCTGTCCTTTGAAAAAAATAGTCAGATCTTTTATGGCAGATACGAAACGTGATATGGATTCTAACATGTAGGTTTTTATTGGTTTTTTTTCATCTTTCATGTTTGTGGAGTTACATTCCTTTTTTGTATTTGTTTTATTTTCAAAATTCTTTTACATTCCTTTTTTGTATTTGTTTCATTTTCAAAATTCTTTTTTATACAATGCAAAGTACATTTGTAATAGCTGAAAATCTCACACACACTAATCTCGCTTCCACTTTCACACAAACAATTATTGATTGTCATTTTAATACATTTTTCAAATGTTTACATTTACATTGCATTTGTATAAAGAAAGCAGAAAAGGACAGGTTAATAAAAAGAAAAATAGACAGAGGATGAAAATAAAGACCCAGAGAGAGAGAGACATGTCAGGCAATCAGTAGTAAATATCTATATATTTTGTGACGTAACCCCCCTGCCCTTGACCTCAGGTATTGACGGAAGTCTAGACTGCGTTATATGTCAGTTGTCCGTCCATGGTCATTAGTGGTTGATCAATCAAAGTCCGTAACTCTGTAATGTGAGAAGTAGTACCGCTGTCACCATATGTGCGTGACGACTAATAAACTAAACTATACCTATCTTGTAAAATGGCTATTGACCCAGCCTCAAATAGCATGTGTTAATTTATGAGACTAGTGCAATGAGCCAAAAGCTCGATTTGACAGGCCGTCACTAAAGTTTTACCAAGGCCTTACTGTTCTTGAGGTTCGAAAAATGTGTTACGAGCCCAGATTTGTAAGCGATTCCGGTAACTTACTTAAATGAAAACCATGAATCATTAAATACAAATATGTACATTTATTGTGTGCCAACTATTTACATAGAATATGAAGTCTTGGTCTTGATCCTGATCCATAGGTTCCGTAATCGGAGATATTGCCAAAAGGTGATATCCAAGTTCGTAGTCTCCACAAAGGTGGGTTCCGTAATAGTTAAGACGTATCGATCCTCGAGATGTGTCTTCTCCGTTTGGGCATGCGCGCAACTGGCGGTTAATCAGCTACTCCCCGACAGTGCCTGGGAGAGAACGTGTGCCAACATTAGGCGGTGATAACCATTGGTTACTCCCTTTGATAAAATCTAATCCACTGGTCGAGTTTAAAGTCTATAACAACACGTACTCTTCTAATTGCTAACGAAATATGAAAGAATTTGATTATAGGCTGACTATCCAAAATAGGAGGGGAAAACTTAACGTTGAAAGTAAGCTCGAAGTAAAATTCCTCTAGGAGTACTAAAAGCGGAAATTTGGTTAGGCAACACAATGACATAATATGACGATAAATCCCTATCTCCTGGTCGGGTAATATTCCAACAACAACAGAATAATCCCGTCACCAATAGCACAAAAAAACTTGATCACTAGTAACTAATTAAACTACAAAACTCATTATACCGTCAACACTTTGGTTGTACCGACTTTCCAATACCACTGCGCATGCAACACAATAGAAATCCAGTCACTTCATAAATCCTTCATAACTAACACTGTGCAATAACCTTGTTAATCCTGTATGAATACAACTCAATACTAATACACAGTGATTACATAAACGCCTTATGATTGAAACACAATATCCAATCATTTTTAAAATTGTTATTGTATTTGTCATCTTTACCTGTTGCAATGAATGTTTGTGTAGTATAGTTGTCCTTGATTGCTTTTTTAAGACCATAAAGAGATAAATTTGTTTGATAAATATATTGTTTCCTAATCAAAATAATTGTACTGTCTATTGGTGTTCTTATTCCATCTGGATTATATAGTCCAAAGATAAAAGTCTCCTTCTTGTAAGCAAAAGATATCATGAAAGTATCTAATAAAAACTCAAGTTTTGTCACATAACCTGCACCTTATCACATTCCAATAGGGTATATTCTATTGTTACAATATCAGTTTTACATGAGTTACAATAAGGACTATCAGCTATTCCTGCCTTAAATATGAATGAGTTTGTTGTCAAAATGTGTTGATTGATTCTGTTTTGAAGCCACTGTAATTTTGAATTTTGGCTATATGAAAAGGCGTTTTATATATTTTCCTCCATGTTTCATTATCAAACTCTAAAACGTCATCGCATTTTTTTTCTTCAATTGAATATTGTATTATTTTTATTGAGTAAATAATAAAAAAAAAAAATAATAATACATTTCGTAGGTGAAATAGCACTATAAAGACGGGATCAGATCCGCGCTATTACAAGGAGGCAAATACACCAACATTCCCTATCTCCTTCACACATTCACAAATGCACGATTACACAACATACATGGAGGCAAAATTTTATGTCCTTGGCTGTTAATATTCCGTTAAACAAAATAAAACCAAATCAAACGTTAGCTTAAATACAAGTACTTAGTGGAGTGTTTTATTTAGCATAAGCCATCCTCCTGTTAATGTAGACATTAACACTTTGTAGTTGAAGTGAATTGTTAAAAAACCTGGAGTCCTCTTCATTCCATCAATAATCATAAGCAAAAATAGGGACCACTTTCGTAACATTCCATTTCATTCACACTCTTTATACATACATTTTAAGTGAAATCATTTTAAAATATTGATGTCATTCCTTATCGCCATTTGTATTATAAGTGTCTTGTTGTTAAATAGTGTTTGGTCAGGGTGAGCCTGGAGTGATTGGTTTTGGTTTGGTTTTATTTTGTTTAACGTCCCATTAACAGCCAAGGTCATTTAAAGACGTGCCTCCATGCGTGTTGTGTAAGCGTACATGTGTGTATGTGTGTAGGAGACAGGAAGAGATAGTGATAATTACGATTCATTTGTACATATCCATTACATGTTACATGGAGAAGAAATGCATAGAATTTGTTTTGTATCTTGGGTTTTCTATAGTAAGTCTGAGTCACCACTGGCAGTGATTCAATTGTAAAATATAATTGACACGGAGAACAATATCCAGCTGGATTTCTAGTTATGCTACCAAATCTGCAAGAAAACCACACCATTCGGCAGGTGTCATCACAATATTAACTATGGATTTTTTTCTCGTGTTGGCTGAAAGTCAATGCAATCTGATAGGTATTTTACTGTGAATGGTCCATGACATACTATACACTTCGACTGGTCCTTGTGCCTAAAATACGAATGAAAAAGGCACCAGACAAGTGATATTAATTCATTGGTATACATTTCCTGACAAGGGCAGACAACAACAACTTTATTTTGTAAGAGGAGCCAGTGGTTATCCACCACCCTATGAATAGTCAGCCCATCACACGTAGCTACATCAATTGTGAAAGCCTGTCTTCATAATTAAATTTGATATTTCTATTCCACTTTTCCAGATAGAATTAACCTTTATAATAAAATCTGATAGATCTTACAATCAATTCGTTCCCTGTTGATATATTTTACATTTGTACACTTTTTTTCTTTCTAGTTTGATGTAATCATTTTTAACGTCTATTTTAAAGTGCTGTTAACCCTAAATGACTCGCATTGTCAATGGGCCGTGACACATTACAAAAACAAACGCACCAACGAAGGTTGTGTCTGAAGGCTTTGACAATGTCCGGGAAATGGCACTTTTAATTAAAGGACCAAAATGCTGTAAAACCAGAACAAAATCAGTTAATGATACATGGACTGCTCGCTCCAGTTGTTCAAAGGCTGTTTAGAGTTAACTTTTTGTAAGGGTGAATTTACTATCAATACAACAAATTAAAGATCATCTGACATTAATTCAATGCTATAAATAATTGAGACTAGTAGCAAGATTTGTGTTTTGATGATTGATTTTGTTTTGAACACCGTTTTTCTTATAAGCACAATTTGAATTTTCACTAACCACAGGTCACCAATCTATGATGTGAAAATATATATGTATACGCTCTTTAGGCTAATATTGGCTTGTTCTCTTTGGAAATTACCAAGGGTCTATATTTTCTCTTATTTTTATCAGTTTCGAGTTTGGTTAAGGTTTTGTTGATCTTGTATGAAAAGTTCATTTAGTAGTTTCTGTTCAATCGTATGTGATTAGTCACACAAAATTGATTTTTAAAACAAGATCTGATATGATTTACAACCTATTCGTTCCCTGTTGATATATTTTTACACTTTTTAAACCCTTTTTCTAGTTTGATGTATTCGTTTTTGTGATTACCTATTTTAACGTGTTGTTTGGCCCTAAATGACTCGCATTGTCATTATATGAATAATATGATTTGCTTTTTTGCGGTTAATAACGGCAGGGGAACAGTTATACGGTGTCTAGGGAGATATCGGTGGACGTAAGGTGTATTTAATAAATATGAAATAGATTGGACCCATCATTATTAATACTTAACGCATTCAGTGACACACAAATCTATCCATTGTTTCACACATCTATACATGCATTAGATTGTCTCGTCTTGGATGAAGGTAAATGCAATTTGACAACAGTTTTACTGTAAATGGTTCATGATATGCTATGCATTGAGACCGGTCTTTGTGCCTTGAAAAGGCCTGTCGATGTCCCAGACATACCGTAAAGAAATACGACCCAGTTACTTTTCAGAAGTATCTTAGTTGCATTGGTATACATTTCTTTACAAAGGTGAAAAACAACAAATTTTCTGTTGTAGGAGGGGTCAGCGGTAATTTACCCCCCTATCGAGAGCCTATGCCACATACAGGTACGTCAATTTTGAAGACCTGTCTTTATAGTTAAATTGTATAAATGCTTTTTGTTTTGTTTTCAAAGACCGATATGTAGTTTGGCTTCAACCAATAAGGCTATGACAAACACAATGTCGTAAAGGGCCAGGTCATGGATCGTTGGTTTTCAAAAGCTTGTTTTGTTGGATGAATAGGTCTTTTACGTCCTATCAACAGCCAAATTAATCAAAGGATGTTTCAAAATGACATATAGGTGAAACAGAGTTCTACCACAAACAACCAAATGTGATATGACAACTATCTTTAGATACAATATTTAAACGAAAGCAGCTTTTCACTATTAACGTTTTGTAACCAATTCAGGTGATATACATATGAATATGCCACAATATGTTTTATGATGGTAAACGATTATATGAATGTGAATATGCTTGTTAACATTCATTCCGGTCTCAAAACATGAGATTGGATCCATCATAAATAATCCTTAACGCATTCAATGACACACAAATCTATCCATTGTTTCACACATCTATACATGCATCAGATTGTCTCGTCTTGGAGGAAGGTATAATGGAATTTGACAACTGTTTTACTGTAAACGGTTCATGATATGCTATGCATTGAGACTGGTCTTCGTGCCTTGAAAAGGCCAATCAATGTCCCAGAAATATGGATACCGTAAGAAATACGACCAGTTACTTCTTCAGAAGTATCTTAGTTGCATTGATATACATTTCTTTACAAAGGTGAAAAACAACAAATTTTCTTTTGTAGGAGGGGTCAGCGGTAATTTACCACCCTATCGAGAGCCTATGCCACATACAGGTACGTCAATTTTGAAGACCTGTCTTTATAGTTAAATTGTATATTTTTTTATTTTGCTCGTTTCGAGATAACTGCTTTTTTGTTTTCAGAGACCGATATGTAGTTTGGCTTCAACCAAATAAGCTGTGACAAACACAATGTCGTAAAGGGCCAGGTCATGGATCGTTGGTTTTCAAAAGCTTGTTTTGTTGGATGAATAGGTCTTTTACGTCCTATCAACAGCCAAACTAATCAAAGGATGTTTCAAAATCATATATGGGTGAAACAGAGTTCTACTACAAACAACCCCATGTGATATGACAACTATCTTTAGATATAATATTTAAGCGAAAGCAGCTTTTAACTATTAACTTTATTTAACCAATTTAGTGATATACATATGAATATGCCACAAATATGTTTTATGATGGTAAACGATTATATGAATGTGCATATGTTTGTTACCATTCATTCCGGTCTCAAAACATGAGGCATACATAACTGCATTATGACATCATCGACACACAAAGTAACAGCAACAAACAGGTTCCCGCAGGAACCATTTGCTAGCCAAATGTCATAATAGTGCAGTTGTGACAAAGACCGTGAAATCACAGTTTTAAGGGACCTAAACCAAACAAACTAGAAATTCATCGACTGCGGGCCCCGGTTAATGGTCACATTATACTGACAACGGATAAACCAATTGTTACGATAACCCTAAATGCAAAATGGTGCACAAGGGGGTGGGGGAGGGGGGGGGGCAATATCGTTTATTGACTTTGGTATGTACTGGCTTTGAGACAGAACCCATCACCTGCTCAGTACTAAGGCCAAAAGTGAGGTTGGTTAGTTGTACAGGGTTTAACGTCCTATCAACAACTAAGAGAAAATATAAAAACAATTCTGAATGTGCTATTGAGACGGCAGATCAATTGTGGTTTCTTTAATGTCCCATTAGTAAAAGACACACAATTATTTTGGTTTGGTTTGTATTGTTTAACGAAAGCCCTCAATTCTGCAGGGGAGAGTTTACCAGTGGTAAGAGATTAGTAGCAATAATGAATACAACAGTTTGGTTTGGTTTGGTTCAGTTTTGTTTAACGTCTCATCAACAGCTATGGTCATTTAAGGACGACCTCCCCTGTGTGCAAGATGCATGCGTGTAGTGTATACGTGTGTGTTTTGGGAGGCTGCAATATGTTCGTGTTCGTCTCCTTGAGATAGTGCGGAACTTGTGCCGACTTTATAGTGCTACCTCACTGAAACATACTGCCGAAGACACTCAGCAGGACACCCCATCCGGTCACATTATACTAACAACGAGCAAATCAGTCGTCCCACTCCTAAATTGCTGAGCGTTAAACAGGAGTGGAAACTACAATTTTTACAGACTCTGGTATGTCTAAGCCAGGGGACAGAACCCAAAGCCTTCCTCACAGGGGCGAACGCTTAACTAAAGACAAAAGTGAGGCATTGTCAAGGGAGACATTAGGAAGAAGAACGTGGTTTAGAAAGAAGAGAAAAGATAATATATCAAAGGGCCGGTTTCCAAAACGGCCCCTTCTCTGTTGGTGGTGCATTGCCCATGCCGTTGTGGTCACAAATCTATAAAGTATAAAGATTTAGGTCACCTGGTTTGTTTTTTATGGCTCCTCAAAGTTGTACCTTTCAGAAGCTGTCTAAGTGTTGATAAAATGTGCATGTTATGTAAAATATTAATGAAAATCTAATCAAATGATGGTCGCCGTAAAGAATACATTCATGGCATGATTGTGACAAAAAATCATGTTTCCATCGCGCCATTTGGCTGTTTTATGGAAGAAACAATCTCAAAAATGCCATTTTCGATGATAACATTTTAGACACAAAAACTGTGTTTTTTAGAGAATACACCCTTTTATGGGCGTTGGATGCAAACCAATTTTTATCCTATTAAACAGTACGTAATATGCTATTGATNCAAGGTCACAGTCGAAGTAAAACAACTAGGCCACCGTGGCTGGTTATAAGTAGGGCTAAGTTTTTCGAGTTTCACCGGTACCAGGAACATACTCTTAAGCACGCATACACTACACACATGACCTTAATAGGACGTTAAACAATATAAAACCAAATCAGTTCGGAAGTTAATCATATTACCTCACCAGTTCTTTCGTCGGACTCCAAGAACCAAAATAATTGTCCTTTGGTATAAATGCAGAACACTTACTTTACTATAAGAGTTCGACTTCTATTACTTTGAGTTGTGCCCCATAACAATATTATTTAAGTATAAATAGGGAACACTGACCTTACATTAAGGGCTTGTTATTAGCACTAAGAAGTAATTATTTCTTTCAAAGATAGCCTCCTAAAATAAGTCCAGTCTAGAAACCTTACCGTACCGGAAGAGATCGAAGCTTAAATATTATGATATTAATCCCTTAGTTTGGGCGGAACGCTGTGCTAGGTATCTGCGGCATGGTATTTCAGTGAAATAGCACTATAAAGACGGGATCAGATCCGCGCTATTACAAGGAGGCAAATACACCAACATTCCCTATCTCCTACACACATTCACAAATGCACGATTACACAACATACATGGAGGCAAAATGTTATGTCCTTGGCTGTTAATATTTCGTTAAACAAAGTAAAACCAAATCAAACCTTAGCTTAAATACAAGTACTTAGTGGAGTGCTTTTCTTTAGCATAAGCAACCCTCCTGTTAATGTAGACATTAACACTTTGTAGTTGAAGTGAATTGTTAAAAAACCTGGAGTCCTCTTCATTCCATCAATAATCATAAGCAAAAATAGGGACCACTTTCGTAACATTCCATTTCATTCACACTCTTTATACATACATTTTAAGTGAAATCATTTTAAAATATTGCTGTCATTTCTTATCGCCATTTGTATTATAAGTGTCTTGTTATTAAATAGTGTTTGGTCAGGGTGAGCCTGGAGTGATTGGTTTGGGTTTGGTTTTATTTTGTTTAACGTCCTATAAACAGCCAAGGTAATTAAAAGACGTGCCTCCATGCTTGTTGTGTAAGCGTACATGTGTGTATGTGTGTAGGAGACAGGGAGAGATAGTGATGATTGTGATTCATTTGTACATATCCATTACATGTTACATGGAGAAGAAATGTATAGAATTTGTTTTGTATCTTGGGTTTTCTATAGTAAGTCTGAGTTACCACTGGCAGTGATTCAATTGTAAAAGATAATTGACACGGAGAACAACATCCAGCTGGATTTCTATTTCTAGTTATGCTACCAAATCTGCAAGAAATCCACACCATTCGGTAGGTGTCATCACAATATTAACTATGGAATTTTTTCTCGTGTTGGATGAAAGTCAAAGCAATCTGATAGGTATTTTACTGTGAATGGTTCATGACATACTATACACTTCGACTGGTCCTTGTGCTTAAAAAACTAATGGAAAAGGTACCGGACAAGTGATATTAATTCATTGGTATACATTTCCTGACAAGGGCAGACAACAACAACTTTATTTTGTAGGAGGAGCCAGTGGTTATCCACCACCCCATAGTCAGCTCATCACACGTAGCTACATCAATTGTGAAAGCCTGTCTTCATAATTAAATTTGATATTTCTATTCCACTTTTCAAGACACCTGTTTGTGGTGATTATTTACACTGAATTAACCTTTATAATAAAATCTGATAGATCTTACAATCAATTCGTTCCCTGTTGATATATTTTACATTTGTACACTTTTTTTCTTTCTAGTTTGATGTAATCATTTTTAACGTCTATTTTAAAGTGCTGTTAACCCTAAATGACTCGCATTGTCAATGGGCCGTGAAACATTACAAAAACAAACACACCAACGAAGGTTGTGTCTGAAGGCTTTGACAATGTCCGTGAAATGACACTGTTAATTAAAGGACCAAATTGCTGTAAAACCAGAACAAAATCAGTTAATGGTACATGGACTGCTCGCTCCAGTTGTTCCAAGGCTGTTTAGAGTTAACTTTTTGTAAGGGTCAATTTACTATCAATACAACAAATTAAAGATCATCTGACATTAATTCAATGCTATAAATTAATTGAGACTAGTAGCAAGATTTGTGTTTTGATGATTGATTTTGTTTTGAACACCGTTTTTTCTTATATGCACAATTTGAATTTTCACTAACCACAGGTCAAAGTTGACCAATCTATGATGTGAAAAAACATATGTATACGCTCTTTCGGCTAATAGTGGCTTGTTCTCTTTGGAAATTACCAAGGGTCTATATTTTCTCTTATTTTTATCAGTTTCGAGTTTGAATAAGGTTTTGTTGATCTTGTATGAAAAGTTCATAAAATAGTTTCTGTTCAATCGTATGCGATTAGTCACACTAAATTGATTTTTAAAACAAGATCTGATATGATTTACAACCTATTCGTTCCCTGTTGATATATTTTTACACTTTTTAAACCCTTTTTCTAGTTTGATGTATTCGTTTTTGTGATTACCTATTTTAACGTGTTGTTTGGCCCTAAATGACTCGCATTGTCATTTATGAATTATATGATTTGCTTTTTTTGCGGTTAATAACGTCAGGGGAACAGTTATACGGTGTCTAGGGAGATATCGCTGGACGTAAAGGTGTATTTAATAAATATGAAATAGATTGGATCCATCATTATTAATACTTAACGTATTCGGTCACACAGAAATCTATCCATTGTTTCACACATCTATACATGCATCAGATTGTCTCGTCTTGGAGGAAGGTAAATGCAATTTAACAACTGTTTTACTGTAAATGGATCATGATATGCTATGCATTGAGACTGGTCTTCGTGCCTTGAAAAGGCCTATCAATGTCCCAGACATACCGTAAGAAATACGACCCAGTTACTTTTTTAGAAGTATCTTAGTTGCATTGGTATACATTTCTTTTCATAGGTGAAAAACAACAAATTTTCTTTTGTAGGAGGGGTCAGCGGTAAATTACCACCCTATCGAGAGCCTATGCCACATACAGGTACGTCAATTTTGAAGACCTGTCTTTATAGTTAAATTGTATATTTTTTTATTTTGCTCGTTTCAAGATAACTGCTTTTTTGTTTTCAAAGACCGATATGTAGTTTGGCTTCAACCAATTAAGTTGTGACAAACACAATGTCGTAAAGGGCCAGGTCATGGATCGTTGGTTTTCAAAAGCTTGTTTTGTTGGATGAATAGGTCTTTTACGTCCTATCAACAGCCAAACTAATCAAAGGATGTTTCAAAATCATATATAGGTGAAACAGAGTTCTACCACAAACAACCAAATATGATATGACAACTATCTTTAGATATAATATTTAAACGGGTGGGGGGTGGGGGGGAGGACATACCGTTTATTGACTTTGGTATGTACTGGCTTTAGGTCAGAACCCATCGCCTGCTCAATACTAAGGCCAAAAGTGAGGTTAGTTAGTTGTACAGGGTTTAACGTCCTATCAACAACTAAGGTCATTTAGGACGTGTCTCCATGTGTATTGTTCATTTGTGTAGTGTATGCGTACATTGCAAAGCAATGCACTAGGAATGAGAAAGTAGTAGCAGGAAGTACGGAGAAAATATAAAAAACAATTCTGAATGTGCTATTGAGACGGCAGATCAATTGTGGTTTCTTTAATTTCCCATTAGTAAAAGACAGACGATTATTTTGGTTTGGTTTGTATTGTTTAACGAAAGCCCTCAATTCTGCAGGGGAGAGTTTACCAGTGGTTAGAGATTATTAGCAATAATGAATACAACAGTTTGGTTTGGTTTGGTTTAGTTTTGTTTCNCACGTTCTATCAACAGCTATGGTCATTTAAGGACGGCCTCTGCAATATGCATGCGTGTAGTGTATACGTGTGTGTTTTTGGAGACTGCAATATGTTCGTGTTCATCTCCTTGAGATAGTGCGGAACTGATGCCGACTTTATAATGCTACCTCACTGAAACATACTTCCGAAGACACTCAGCAGGACACCACATCCGGTCACATTATACTAACGACGAGCAAATCAGTCGTCCCACTCCTAAATCGCTGAGCGTTAAACAGGAGTGGAAACTACAATTGTTACAGACACTGGTATGTCTCAGCCAGGGGACAGAACCCAAAGCCTTCATCACAGGGCCGGGGCGAACGCTCAACTAAAGCCAAAAGTGAGGTATTGTCAAGGGAGACATTAGGAAGAAGAACGTGGTTTAGAAAGAAGAGAAAAGATAATATCTCAAATGTAGTCGCCTCTTACGATCATGCAATTAGGTACAATTATTGCGCCCTACCTGCAAGGACAGTATCTGATATCATTTTACTCCTACATATTGAGACAAGTAAAATTGATTTGTTGTGATGATTAATTTTGCTTTTAACAATTTAGTTTCTTATTCGCACCAATTTCACAATTTTTTCAGCTACCACAGATTATTCGATACAGTTTCTGTGCAATTAATATATGACTATTTACACTCTATTGAATTTTACAATAACATATGATATATTGTGCAGCCAATTTGTTCGATATTGATGTATTTCTTTAATCTTTTACATATTTGAAGCTATTAAATTTTATTTGATGAGTTTATTTTCGTGAATGTCTCTTTTTACAGTGTTGTTAGCCCTTAATGACTCCCTCTCTCGATGGGCCATTAAACAATACAAACAACTAAACGAAACAAAATATGGGTTATAGTTAACTTTGATATGAAAAATATCATGTATTTATAAGTATTCTTCTGAAACACATTGGCTTTTTCTCTTTGGAAATTGACAGGGGCCTATATTTTCTCTTCAGTTCTTGCTCTATCAGTTTCGAGTTTGAGTTGGGTTTTTTTTCACATTTCGTTGTTCTCCTGTTTGTTGTTTTATTATCTGAGTTATATGTTATGCTAGTTGCAGGGTATACCGTCAGTGTAAAGGTTACACGGTGTCTAGGGAGACCTCACTGAACGTAAAACGTTTTTAATAAATAGGAGTTAGATTAGTTTTATTATTAAAACAGTATTTAACGCATTCACATATTAAATCAATGATTTGATATATTTATCATTCCATATTCAACGTCGCTTTTTCAACCTACAACATCATGCCGAATAAACAGATCACATTTATAACATAAAACAGGATTTGTGCTACATGATTACGTTATGCACATTTATGTTCCGTGATAGGCACTCACTATGGACAGGCGTATCCGCAGCACACAACCTCATCAACAGTAGTCGTTCAACAGCCACAGACCACCAACATGGTGATGGTAAGTGTTACAATAACACATCAGCTTCCGGTATCACCAAAGTTTTGAGTTAGCCCAAAATTGTGTTCGGGAACCATTCTCTTTGTCAGGTGTTTTTGAGATCAGGTTTGTGTCTATTACGACCAGTCTCATCGTGTGGGTGATTTTAAAGTTCAAGCTTTATTTTGTTTTGGGTTATTTCAAGAGACTCAGTAAGAATCTCCCCGCTCATATTTTGCCATTGTTATTACCCAATTTGCAATACAAATTACGGTTTTACGTACATTTGCGTATATCCATCTTCCTTTCTCTGTTTGTTTCTCCCGATAACTTGTAGTGTTCCAAAAGGTCGCTATGACCAATAAAGACAAATACAAAAAATGAAGATTCAGGGCAATATAAAGGATATACATGTATATCAATCTCTCCTTTCTCATTTATGCTCGTTCGAATGTGATAGAAGAGGGGAAGACACGGGAAAATGTATGATCGAAATGTTCAATATATTCTCACAGAGGGCGATATTTTGTCAGGGCAATACATAAGGGTGAATAAGTCATGCTTATTTCTCGTTCTAGCCCGAGATTACCGTCCTATGAGACATCAGAGAGGATCCCTATAACTTAATAATAATAATAAGTGTAAAATCTTTACGGATGCCCTAAGGACGTCTTCAATTGAGGAAACCTGTGATAGATAATGAATTGAAAAGTTTTTTCTATGAAAAAGCCTTTCTTTTTTAGCTTTATCCAGGAAGGAAACCTGATACACAAACTAGTTTCAACTTCCACATGACTACCTTAGATGGAGGTTAATCTGAATGGATTCTTTTTTATATTTGTACAATTCATTTATAGTTAATCTGTTCAGCACTATATCAACTTAGTTATACATGTAAGGTTTATACCGAGGACGAAATCATTGGAGTTTACCACGGGTTTACATGCATATTAATTTATGCTTGTATATTCCATTTAAAGGCCATCCCCAGATAACTACACCATGGAAAGTTGTCCAGGGTTGATAGTAATTTATACTCGTATATACCTTGTAGAGAACTCGGCCTAATGACTACATGGTCTGGTCTGTCATCGGATGTCTATTCTGTCTCTGGCCTGTTGGATTATGTGCCATCGCTGCATCTCAAGATGTGAGTAATGTTTCTATACAATCTTCGGCACAAAGCTATTTTATATTATACGGTGTCTTACTAAATTATGTAGAAAATGTTTCTTTACTTCATATTTCTAGATTATATATCAATGCTGACCTGTTAATAGATTTGCATAGCTGAGGTTAAACACTTTTTTTTATTACTATATGCATGTATCAAAGTTGAAACACTTAATTAAACACGATACTAGCTAAATGTAAATTAATGTGTACCTGAACGAAAATACAAATGAATCTATTATCAGTATATATGATGTCGAAAGCCGCATAAAAATTGATCAAACCTATGCCGAGATATTGACGTGTAAAATGTACAATTTCCTTCAACTACTTAATAGTATAATCGTAACTCGCGTAGAACGGGACCTTATCGGCTGTGTAGTCACAAGTACAGCGACTGTAGCAGCCATAGGCGTCAGATTGCGAATTAAGAATCAATTTATGCTGAAGATGACATTATGTATATTATATATCCAGGCATATCAAATTTGTCAAAACGTTCCGACACATATTGGTTTAATTGAAACCAGACTGACGACTCTGGAGAGGGTAACACAGACTGGTAGCAATGCATGTCCAGTTTCTGAGCACTGATGGGAAATTAAAGAAAACATGAATTTGAGGGAAATTAAACAGCAATACTCTCATTGTTATTGATAAAAAAAGCTGTGTTGTGTTTAATTTCCAGTTTCTGTGCCGGCTTATTTATATTTAGAAGTTAAATACACTGGTACCGCTACGGTAAAAAAACGGAAATGTATCAGTGAAAAATGTTACAATATTACATCATCTGCTATGTTTTTTTAAATGGCAATAAAATGTATAGCATATCTTACATATTACCGTATTATTACAAATTGACGACATTTCAAATCAAAAGCAAATACCGACAAACAGTTAAACATTTAATTTCATACAATGTATGCGATGCTAAATTATATTTATCTCGAAAACATAATTGAATGATGAGATTCAAAATGAAAAAACAATACTCCATATGTTATTATACACAAGTTATAATAAGCATCTTGGTTCAATAATGAAACTCATCTCGATCCACTACCTTCGCCTACTTAGGTGTGAAATGTTTGTACAGGTAAATAACACTAAGCTCACAAGTGTCCAGTGCTGGCAGCAGGAGGCCCAAGATACACCTTTATACATGTGTCTAGGTATGACATCAAAGGGATGTCTGCAGGTGGGAAAGGGGGTACCTTCAGTTAGTATGCAGATTATGTGTCTTCCAATTTTCTATTTAACAACAATGTCCTCATGCTAGATAACGGAAAAAATGAAAAAATGACCAATTTCAAGGAAATAGGTAGAAAAAAACCTCGTAAGCACTGTCAGGGAAACACGTGATATGCTAACCATAAACAGTACAACCATCACCCGACAGATAGAAGTCAAGAACAAATAATGCTGGACCATGTTATGTACATTATATCCGATGTTGGTTCAATGAAAAATTACGAATAAATGTAAGACTTAATCGGACTAAATTTAATGAACTATATCAGACAATTATGTCACAACCAGTACATACTTATTCGCAATGTTTCAACTTTTTATAACTGGGGGCAAACTAGTCGGGTTTCTGCTCATTTTGAGTATAAATATGTGTACCGTTTGTTTTGTCAATTTCAACCGCTTATCTCCCGCATATTATAAAGAAAGGTGTGGGGTGATCTATGTTAATTTGACTCAATTTTTATCGATTGTTTTTTTTTTTTTTTTTTTTTTTTTTTTTTTTGTAGATAGGGGTTCGTTATATTCTCTAGAGATGAATTGTATAATAAAAAGTATAATATTACACAGTGACTAGATAAACGAATAATATACAGTCACGGATTCATTTAGATAGCATCCGCATGTGTGTTCGGACACCAGCATACAGCACATCGTTTGCCTCCTAAGTAGGAACTGATTTCATCATTAAAATTGTAAAAAAAACACATTTATATGTATGAAGCAGTTTACATATTACCTACACAAGTAAGTGACGACGGAATATATCATATATCGCACTGACGATCGAACCCTCCCTGTATATTCCTATATGGCTGTATGACAGTGTTAAATTTGTGACGTCACAGATATGGGCTACCCATTTCGAGGCGATCGCCGCTGAACCAAAGGTGTATTTTTCCGATAAATCGCAATATCTCGGTAACGGAGTCAACTACGACGTTCGCACTTGTTTAGCTTTTTATTGTGTAATATGAAGTATTCCAGTAGCTTGATATAGCAAAGCGTTCCAGGTACACTTTAACCCCGCTTTACCGGTCGAGCTCCACGACGGAAGTACGGGAAATGTAGGAAACTAAATTAAATGTACAAATGGATGCATACGTTCATACCTTTTAATTTATTCTGCTCACACATACAAATACCCCTGAACATCCATTTTGAGATTACATAGAAATATATTAACAGCATAGCATTTGTTTTTAGATTGTGTCGACCTTCAGTCAATTCGGGAAATTTTCCATAATAAAGCTACATGTCTAAAATATATTTTAGAAAAAATTGCTATAGTAACTCTGTGTTAAACTATCTGAAAGCTGTTAGTCTGTTTATAATAAAATATGTGTCACTAGAGTAAAATTTAATATTCAAGTTGACGTCTGTCTTTGATCTTCACGTTTGGATGATGGGTTTGTTTTGCATTTGTTAATCTTGGATGCCGGTTTCCGAACAATGCAGCAATTATTTACCAATACGTTATGACACGAATGCCAAAATGTTTCTTTAATACTGATATACTGCTGTTGTTTTTTAACAGTCCCGCAGTAAAGCTGATAATGGAAACATAGAAGGAGCCAAAGCCAGCTCGCGATGGGCATTGCAACTCAACGCACTTAACGCCTTCCTCGGTGCTGTACTAATCACTGTCTTAATTGTCCTGTATACGATGGCCGGGAAGCAAGTATCGGCTGAACTTAATGGACACTGACAATGCATAATGTTGAAAGCGGCATATGTTTTACTGTGTGTCCAGATACATAAACAACAGCTATCAGTCGACAATAAAGATGCCGAAACATATGACGAAGAACTTATGAGATGAAAACTTACTATATAGACTGGCTTACTTGTTGTAATGTCTGTTCTCCAAATTAAACATTTTTGTGGTTTTCGCTGAAACACTTTCCATTAATATATATATCGGTTTCAAATAACCCGAGACCCATAAAATAAATAAGGATTCATACCAGCTTTTAATTCCTTTCTGCATGATTACAACTTTATTGATCATCTAGGAATTGCATCTTATAAAATAAAATGTTCCCGCTCCTTGTATTTAATCTTCTTTTAAACCATTTTCTACTGAAGAAATAAAAAAACATTGTTAAACGTAAAGTTTGTATTTTGAAGATCATGAAATAAGCATAGCAATAGCTTTACAGACTATTTTCTGTTTCTTTTTATTTTGTAGTTTTACGTATTCTTCGAATGGCTTATATGTATTGCATGTGTTTTGTTACTCTTTTATTTAGAGAAAAAAAATCAATACGTCCTTTTGCGTAATCTGGCGAGAATGGGATGCAACTTTATCATCTGTTTCTAGGGGAAATAAAAGAATCAGAATATAAACGTATACAAAATTGTTATTTTTATTTCTTTATTCCCGCCAGGTTTGATAAAAAATATATACATTCTGTGTGAAAAAAGTCTATGACATGAAATGTGATACTTCGTTCAGAGATTATCATACTATACATCACCACCCATAAAAACCAATGGATTGTGCATTAATGTCGAAATCAACAACAATTTACTTTCTCACACCGCGTGCCTATTTACAACTAGTAACAGACAGAAACAGTTTAATTTTATTTGACATCCTTACCTGTCAAACCTCGGTGACTGTAACAAAATTTGCTATTCGACCTGGTGTTTCAGGATGGAAAAAGAATTGAGACTATGTATTGATATAGCTACAATCTCAGTTACATCAAAATATTACAATGTGCTCTTTTTATTTTATTTTTTAACTAATATCTTTATACATTTACTTAGATATATTGTCAAATTTATGTTAGGAACTTATTTTTCTATCATTCTTTATGTGCCCTGACGGATGCACAAAGAGGATTTAATTCTTAATTTGGGAGGAAACCAGAGTATCCAGAATTGTAAATGTATGATGCACAACTAATTGTGAATTCGTTTTTACCAATCATCTATGATACAAAATATTCTACAAATTGGAGACCGGGGCAAGTTCTGCCATCCTGGATATTTTTGTTATTGAGCATTAAGGATTTTAGCTGTTTAGTTGGCGGAGCATTTACACGAAAAAAATGGCGAGGACAACTCTAATGTAACATTACTAAACAGAAGAAAGTCAATTTTGAGGGAACAGAGATACAATCATGATCTCGTTTCATTTTAGTTATGCTTCCTTTCTGTAAACGGAATATTGCTCCTTTTTTACGGTCAAACGTGTAACATTTCATTTGGTTTTATATTGTTTAACGTCCTATCAACAGCTTAAGCCATTTAAGGCCATGCCTCCATGTGTGCTATGTATGCATGCATGCGTATATGTGTGCCGGAAACATGGTATGTTGGTGTACTTGCCTACTTGTGATTGCGCGGATCTGATGCCGACTTTATATTGCTATCTAACTGAAATACCATGCCGAAGGCACCAAGCACAGAATCCCGCCCGGTCACATTCTACTGACAACGGGTGAACCAGTTGTTACCATTACTTTTAAAACTGAACGTTAAGCAGGGAATAACAACTACTGTACCATTTTTAGCTCACCTTGTCCGAAGGCCCGTCGTGATGCGGCGTCCTTCGTCCGGCGTCAATATTTTATTTTAAACAACTTCTTAATAACTAATGGCCTATGGTGAGGATATTTGGCCAGAAGCAAACTGGGATGATGGGCTACCAAGTTTGTTCAAATAAATTACCTTCACCCATTTTCAAGGTCACAAGGGTCAAATATGTAAAAAAAANAAAAAAATCTGAATAACAATTATGCCCAGGGAGATAATATTTGGCTAGTAGCATGTGTCGGTGAAGGGCTACCAAGTTTTATATTGCTTTCTCACTGAATATGCGATACCGTATGATTATATTTGGCCTGTAACATGATGGGATGAAGGGCTACCAAGTTTGTTAGAATGAATGACCTTGAATTATATTCAAGGTCACAGGGGTCAAATTTGTTTAAAATCTTTTAATGACTTCTTCTGAATAACCATAAGGCCTAGAATGTTGATATCTGTCAGTAGCATGCTGGCATTAAGGACTACCAAGTTTAATCAAGTGAATGACCATGATTATATTCAAGGTCAAATTTGTTTAAAATCTTTAAAAGACTTCTTCTGAATAACCATGAGGCCCAGAATGTTAATATATAGCCAGTAGCAAGTTTCAATCAAGGGCTATCAAGCTTTTTCATTTGAATGACCTTGATCCAATATCGAGGTCAAATTTACTCAAATACATTTAAACATTTAAATGACCTTATTTCAATAAACAAAAGGATAGGTAGGTGATGTTTTGCAGGTTGCATCCTGAGGGCTATAAGATTTGTTCAACATAATGATATTGTTCGTCTTTCAAGGTCACAGGAGTGAAATGTTTTTAAATCTTTCAACATGATCTTTTGAATTACTTTTAATCATAAATACTGATATTTTGCCTTTAGCTTTATTTCAGATCACTTTTAAGGTTACAAATGTGATATGAATAGCAGGTGAGCGATGCAGGCCCTTTGGGCCATTGTTTATACTTCACAAAACTTACCTTGTATGTCGACGGTTTTTATCTGAAATTGACCTAAAGATTATGTCAAATACTGGCGTTAGAATAAAGTCACAAAGCCAAATGTCTATTTTTGGAACGGCATTGCAACTATGAAGCTTTGTTATTGTGCATACTGTATTACTTCATATTGTCCTAATGAATACACCAGTGTAAAGTTTGCTGAGATAGATCGACCCTAGGTCATCGGTTATTAACAACTTCAAAGGATTCATATCTTTATTGTTTGGGGTCTAACGTCCTCACAACAGCTATAGTATTTAAAGACAATTGATTCCCATGTTTTGTTAGTATTGTTTCGTATCTCATTTATCATCCAAGCTTAACGTTACTTAAACATTTTCGATTACGTCACCTATTGTGTTTACAAACTGACTATTTAACCTATTCAACCGCTAGGCGTTGGATAAGTTGGGTGACTGTTGGATAAGTAGTGACCTATTCATACTATCCAACGGCTAGCGGTTGGATATTTAATGACTGTATCACCACTTATCCAACAGGTCACACAGGGTCATGTCAAACGTACCCAGAATGCCCATCTGTTGAATACGGTTTGTAGACACAAAAACAGATAAACAAAGAAAACGATAACAAATAAATATGAAAGATAGTAAATGTAATTTTAATTCCAGCTTTAATACCTGGTGGTACACGGTAGTCAGCCGTTGTAATATATACAAGTACAATGCACTTAGCCGAAGTTTCCAGTTTTCACAAACACATCCGCTTTACGTATTTCACAATATATATTCAAACAGGGATTTCCACCAACTCATCCCCTTTACGAATTTTGATGCACGTGTTGCTGTTGCCACCGATACCTGTGTCCTCACTGTGACCAGACGTTTTCCGTTTCGTGCCTTGTATAAAAGAGCATAGGCACTTGACGCTTTGTTATGTCAGATTTTTTTTTTTTTATATAAGTATACATTTTTTTTAATTTTTTTTAATGTAGGGTCATGTATTCGAACCAATGAAAAGGTAAATAACTACAGGGATGCAAATTTTGACAGAAATTGACCAAGTCCGTTAAAATCAACATATCTAAAAAATAATACGCAAGCAATTTTCGATAACGAACGTCCAACTTACAGAAAACATTCCCAGCTTTCCATTGATACATAGTTGAAGGATATACTCAAATTATTAAGATCACGGCGTGCTTCCACACTCCAAATTTCACCGGATATTTGTAGGTAGGACACTTACCTGATACCGGTAAACACCACAAAAAATTATCTGACTACCGCCTTCCGTCGATCTCCTGTGCACATAAAAATGACATACAGAAATGACCTTGGGAATATCTGACAGGAACCTTTGTACTCGGAACACCTCAGCTCATATCAATAACATTTGGATCGCATTTGGATACCATCGGCATTTACTAATGCCTTGGGGTTATATGTGTTTGTGTCAGTGAGTGCATTTTACAGGTGTGGACAACACAGGTAAACAACTCCATTCACTGATTATCCAACTGTCCACCTTTACCGGGTTTAGGGGTCCAATTGGGATATGAAAGTTATTAAGTAGGATAAATCTTTCGCAAACGTTGGTAAAGCGATTTGGAAGAACCCTGTCTCGGGCCTATCGGCCCTCGACAGGCTGTGCTTACAAATTACTTAACCAACGTTTGCTTGAGATTTATCCTATACATAAAATGTGTTTAAAAACCCAAAAGTATGGCGTTCTTTGTTTACAGCCATGAAAATTAACAAAAGTAAACTGAGAATTGTGTAAAGGCAAATTTACCACTTCGTATAAAAGACAGCACTTGTAGCGCCAGCACTTGTAACTCCTTCTGAAACATAAGGTAGGTTACTGTTAATCTGATTATACCTGTAACTTGTTATTTGATGAGGTTCTTTACTCTAAAGCTGCCATATATATGTACAATAATATATATGTGGGAAACTCTTACTTGGAATTTTGTTCTTATGAACGTCGTATGTTCCAGACAAGACCGCCATGAGTTCACAAAATTATGAACGCTTTTATGAGGATGAACTTCCAAGCTTCCCAACCGATAAGTATTATTGAATAAACAAATACGATTGTTTTTAATGTAAATGAAATTGAAAATGTCTCTTTTAGGAGTTTCCGCCCTGCTATATCGTCATATTGATATTGCACTGATAGCTTCAGTAGAATGTTAGAGAATGGTTTGTATATGATAGACAGCTAATCATCCGATAACAAAGTTAACTTTATACATTTTGTAACACCACTTGTATCCTTTTGACAAACTTGTTGCCAACCTCGTATTGATTTGCCGCTAAACATTTTTTATTCGATGCAAGCAAAGGGTCCTAATATATTCTTCAGTAGCGCATAAATTTGTTACTTAATTCGTAAACGTTTTTTCTTGCCATACATTATCATTTGATTTAACCGATAGTTTCAAAGTTTCTAAACACTTTATGAGTGATCAAAATTAGATGGGGAAAGACGTTATAGTTCATGTAGTTATGGGGTTCAAGAGTGTATTACTACGAGACAATCCAACCGTTACGTATGTGCATACCGTGCACAATGACTCCTGCTTCACAGTGCTAGTTATGGCTGATACTTTTGCGATTTGTCAACATTGCTGTAAATTACCGTAAACGTTTCGTCGTAATGAAGCGAGCAACATGTTATTTTCCTTTAAAATAAAAGCAATACTGTTGTCAAATAATTGTGTGATAACAAGTGATAGAGGAGCTGAATTTGAATACTGTTCTATTTACTGTATTCAAAGCAATGCCGAACTCACTTAAACACCCAGCCACACGCCGTACGTATTTAGTGTCTCCGTGTAAATGTTCCTGCGGT